CTTTCCTTCTCTCCTGTGCAGCAAACTGAGTAGTCGACTACGAATGATTGTGTATAGCAGTTTGTGATAAAAATGAGTAAATTGGATATGAACATGGGGTAGATCATCAATGAATATTTTACTCCTATAGTCACCACTTTGAGTACTGCTTCCATAGACTGCTGAATATCCTATCAAATGCACTCAGATTGTCCTCGTTGCTTATCCAACTCTGCTCGTAGTAGAATTTAGTCAACCCCACTTCTGGTCCATCAACCACCTTCTCCACCACACTCATCTCAAGCTGCTCTCTTTCCACCACTTCCTCCACCACAATCCTCTCGTCTCTCTCTCCTCCACTCTCAATCCACTCCTTCAGTCTCCTACCCTCTTTCTCTCCCATTTCTCCCATTTCTTCCATTTCACCAGAATAGAGCAGTTTCTCCCTAGTCAATTCTACCGTATAATCCAACTTATCACTTCTTTCTGGTACACCTGGATCCATGAAACTATTCAGCCTATTCACAACGTACATCTTCCCCAATGACTCCCTTGATCTGCTTATTCTCTTCACTACCCTTTTTCCTATTTCATCAACATATTCGATCCAATACGTCCGTCTTTCGTAGCAGACCTGGATCCTCCTTGTCTTCTCTCCTGCATCCATCTCTCGTAGACTGCTCTCAAACAGCACGTCCACCTTCCCAGCTGCCACTTCCTCCACCACTTCCTTGATCTTCATGCTCGAGTTGAATACTCTTCCTGGTATCCTACTCAAATTAAGTCGCCCTGGTTCAAATGACACCCTGTAACAGACACTCTTCTTCCACTGCCTGACAACCAGAATGTTTGATGGAGCATAGAATCCATTCAGAATGAAGTCTCTCACGTGCTCCCTGTGGTAGTTGAACTCGCAGTAGCCCCTGTTTTTCAGGCGGATTCCAGCACAGGCGGAGTCACCCACAAACTCAACCTCGTCCTCGTCGTCCAGCATCCCGTGGACCACCATGTCGATCTCCTTGCACACCCTGTGACTGCGTCTCCTCTGCCCCGTCTTCAGCTCCACCCCTCGTGCCATTCCAATCTTCCTGAAAAGTGACACGTCCAGGCCAACCACAAATGCAACTCGAAAGAGGGCGTCATTTGACAGGGCGAATGAGACATCGATGAACTTGAACACCTCCTCCTTCTCAGGTGGAACTGATCGATCTGGCTCAACTCGATCCATCTCGTTGTTGATGTAGAGGAGGATGTTGGTGATTCGGTCCATCTCATTCAGGGAGTAGGCGCCAGTCAGAAGAAGCAGGTTGAATGCATCTGAAAAGAGGTCACGTCTCTTTGGGCCCAGCTGGTCAACAAGGTGGGCCATTCTCTGGTAGTCAGCCTTGACCAGAATGAAGTTATCATCCAATCTGGTGTAAATGGCAGTCTTACTGCAATTGCGCTTACATTGGTCAATATTGATATTAGTATCATCATTCTGATCAATATTGACATTCTGATCAATATCATCATTATTATGATCAATATCATTATTGTTGATATTCTGATCAACATCCACATTTGTTACACCACCCTGATCATCTATCAATATATTACTGTTAAAGTAGCAACTGAAGTATTTCTCACTGTACTTTCCTATCACCCCCTTTGACCGATACTCTCTTCTCCTATGAATAGCTGGTTTCACTCGTATTATGCTACTAAACATCCCACTCTCTCTCGTACACACCCTGTCTGATGCACCAGCCCTCATTCCCGATGCTATGCCACGATACTTCGACACCACTGCCCTCATCTCCCGTATCACCCCTGTCTCCCTGCTCATAAACAGCTCCTCCTCTGATGCCACCCTGTGCCTGTGAATGAGCAGCCTGATTTCCGCCTTGTAGTCCGAGAGAAGAAGAAGCTCCATTGGATCGGCCTCCTCGTCACGGCCAAACTCAACGAGTGGCCTCGATCCTCGTAGAATCGTCCTCATTGGCTCATCGACGGCAGCGAGGGAGTCGATGAAGCAGCCGTGGCACTCGCAGGACCCGTGTCTCTGGNCCCTCATTCCCGATGCTATGCCACGATACTTCGACACCACTGCCCTCATCTCCCGTATCACCCCTGTCTCCCTGCTCATAAACAGCTCCTCCTCTGATGCCACCCTGTGCCTGTGAATGAGCAGCCTGATTTCCGCCTTGTAGTCCGAGAGAAGAAGAAGCTCCATTGGATCGGCCTCCTCGTCACGGCCAAACTCAACGAGTGGCCTCGATCCTCGTAGAATCGTCCTCATTGGCTCATCGACGGCAGCGAGGGAGTCGATGAAGCAGCCGTGGCACTCGCAGGACCCGTGTCTCTGGTGGAAGCGTGCTCTACGGTAGAGACGGCCCAGTGCCTTCTCTGAGACGTAGCCTGGGGCTGCCTCCATGAAATCGGGGTATTCGGCCGGGTGGAGCTCAGCACTGATCGAGGCAGTTGATCCCGTTTTGACGAAGTCGATTGATCGGTTGAACAGCTCGCTCAGGCGAAGGGTGGCTGGGTGGAAGACGGAGTGTCTGTCAGCAAATGCGAGATGGGCATTTGAGATCAGTCCGAGCTGATGCGTTCGCATGTGGCGGATGAAGAAGTTGACGACGTCCTTGTTGAGGATGTTCGACTTCAGGAGGCCTAGGCCACCAGATGCCCCGTACTGGTACGGCCTGAATGTCATTCGTGGGACGAGGGCGTGGCACCACGAAATGGCGTAGACGTCGCCGTCGAGGTCGGAGCCAGAGCACTCGTTGAAGAGCGGCCTGGCTCCGCGCTGGCTGAAGACCAGGACGTCCTTCAGGTGGTGGAGGCCAGGCCGATCGACGCATTTCACGATTCGGATGTCACCGGGGTGCATGCAGGGGTTCTTGGCCACGATGGCCACGCCTGTTGGCACCACGAAGTCACCGTAGGCGGTGCAGCCGCTCGAGCTGCCCTGGAACATGATGAACACCTCGTCTGGCTCCAGGAGGCCCCTTTCGTCGATCACGCCCATGGCCGTGCGACCGTCTTCGACGCGGATGCGCGCCTTGGAGCTGATTTCAGCCAGGAGGCCGTTGGTGACGCCAAAGAGCAGCGAGTTGGTGACTGCGGCCGTTGCGAAGCAGAGGTGCCTGTTTGCGAGGCCGACTGGGTCGCAGACTGCGTGGCGGAGGATGCTTCTGGCGTACTGGTCCTGGAGGCGGATGAAGGTGGCTGCTGGGATTCCAAGGCCCTCGAGGATGACGATGAACTGCCTGTTCAGGAAGAACTCATGCGACTTGGCTGCCTGACAGACTTCTACAACCGAATGGGATGAATCAAACTTAACCATTGACTCCCTGAGGATGATTAGGTTGTAGTCATTAACCTTACCACTGTTATTATTACCCTTATTATTGTAGTAGTTGTAGTTGTTGTTACTGTTGTTACTATCATTATTGCCCTTACTACTGTTGTTAACCTTACTACTATTATTACCACCCTTATTGTTACCCTTATTATTGTTACTCTTATTATCACCCTTATTAATATTGTTACCCTTACTACTATCCTTACTACTATTACTATTATCCTTACTACTATTATTATCACCCTTACTACTATTGTTACTACTATTACTACTATTACCCTCTACCAGTATCTTCTCTACCACTTCATCTGGCTGTACTGTTACCACCCCCTTAGCACCACCAAATCGTATTTGATAGGCAGATGGCACGTAATTCAGCCCAAGTGACTCGGCAATGCCTCTTCCAAGCTGACGCGTGATTACTCCAGCCCCATCAGTGAAGACGTATCCATTTCTGACCACGTCTCCAAGAACAACGACCCTGTCAACCCCAACGGCC